CCAGCAGCTGTTTCCAGATTCTGAATACAGAGAGCACATCAGCTCAGTGAAAATATTCCAGCATGTCCTGATGAAACGAGGCAAGATTTTCTCATTACAGCTTCATGGCTGACCAAGGGCAAGTGACTGAAGAGGAGGCCTTCAACAGTCAATACAGCGTGGAGACAGCTGAGAGGGAAGAGCTCTTTCCAGCGTTTTGAAAGGACAGTGGAGGAATGAGGGAGAGAAAAAGACCAGGGGTTTTGGCAAGTTACATAGACGGAAAAATGAATTATTCTCTTTGTATTTACACAGGAGTCTGTCCGTCCGTTTGGCCCATCTGTGAGGTCAAGGAGGCACTTTTTATAGATAACAGATTGGTGATAACTGTTCAAAGTGGGCATTTATGAACCATCATGTACTGAAGACCTGAGAAATCCCACTGCAGCTGCGAACGGGGCAATCGAAGAGAATTTTAAAAATGGAGGATGGCAGCCACCTTCTGAATATTTTTAACTAGATTTGAAGAAGTGCTCGGAAAAGATGATAAGATCATAATACACCTGGATACTGGAGGAACTTCACAGCGCTGGTTTTCAGACTTGTTGATCCTGCATCAATCAACTGTAACTAATCAAATGATCCCTCGTGTCACGTGTACTAATGATTATAAACTAATCAAAGACTTATACTAGAATATTTGAAATTCAAATATCTCTAATTCTGTCTGTTGAATGTAGAGTGTCAGAGGCTGCCTTTACTTGTTGAACAGAGGTTTTCAAACTGTGAGGTTCACCCCCCAAAGGAGGGTGAAGGAGGGGGTAAGCAAGACAAGGTTGAAAGGAAAGTTCAGAGGAAGAGATGTGATGCAATGTTGGTACCCTTACCAGTCACATCTGAACCACCAGAACTCACTTACATGTTTGACTTCAGCCAGACTTAGGAGATCAGAAAATAACGTTTGTTTTAACATCACATCAGAAATAATAAGAAAAAATAATCCTCTATAAAACTCAAAAACTTCATTTTGCAGCATTCAAGTATGTGATATCAGTCTACACATCCATCTGTGTTGCTGCTTATCAGTAAATGGCGCTACGTCAATGCTGCCCCATCAGTCCAAAGAGGAGAATGACAGACCCTCAGGATGTAAAGTTATCAAACATTCAAAACGTTCACATTTATACATCTTTGAAAGAGCACAGTGAATATTGTCCAGAATAACGGACAATGGGGCTGTCACGGACTAGCTATCCGTGATGGCAGGCTCCGTCGCTTGGCAAGTAGACAAAGGCCACCCCCCATTGCTATGAAAAGTTTAAAGAGGAAAACACCCCTAGAGTCTGCGAGAGCGGGGGCGGAAGATGACTCATCGGCTGACAACCCGGTAACTGACCCTGGAATGAACACGACAACGAACCAGATAATCGGCACAGAACAAGCAACAACATCGGCTGAAGGACAAGAGCGCCAAGTATGTAGCTGTGGCTGGTCCAAAGTAACCTCCATCAGAGGCCTAAAAATACACCAAGGCCGGATGAAGTGCGTGAAGAAAACGAGGCCAGGACCTCGCATTGACCAATATCTTCTGAGAGAAAGGTCAAGTCAGGCGAGTGAAGCTCAGCGGCAGGATGTAACCCACAGTCCACTGAGCATCAGTACCCCAGAGGCTGAGAATAATTCAAGCACAACATCAGAGAACTTGGAACCCAGCCACTTGCAACCTGCTTTGGAGAAGAAAATGCAAGGCCACAGACCTCATGTGAAGTGGCCAAAGTCCAGCAGCAAGAAAGAGTGGGCTACAATTGATGCAGACCTGATCAAGATCTTGGACGGAGTCAAAGGAACAGTGGAGAAGAAACTGGAGAAAATGGGAGACCTGATCTACTCATATGGAGCAGAAAGATTTGGAGCAAAAGAGACAGGGAAGAAGAATATGCCACCAACAACCCCTCCCAAGTCCAGAAGGCAGAAAGAAATCGAGTGCCTGGTTAAAGAGAGAAGGGAATTGAGGAAACAATGGAAGAGAGCCTCAATGGAGGAAAGAGTGGGCATTGACCTCCTGCAAACAGACCTAAAGGGACGCCTGGGAAGATTGCGGAGAGCTGAAAACCTCAGGACTCGACGCAAGAGGAAGGAAAGGGTGAGAACATCCTTCTACAAGGACCCCTTCAGATTTGTAAAAGGACTCTTCACTAAGGAAAAAAGCGGGTCACTTAAGGTGCCAAAGAGGGAGTTGGAAGATCACCTGAAAACCACTCACACAGACAGCCAAAGATTTGAACAAAGGGAGATACCATCAGACATGCCACCAATTCCTCTACCAGAACACCAGCTGGATGACAGTCCTCCAAAGTGGAGCGAGGTCGAGGAAGCAGTGAGGAAGGCAAGGGCAGCTTCAGCTCCAGGACCAAATGGAGTTCCATATCGGCTGTATAAAAACTCCCCAAACATCTTACGCTTCCTGTGGAGGCAAATGAAGGTGATGTGGACGAAGCAAACCATTCCAAAAGCATGGCGTAGAGCTGGAGGAGTGGTAATCCCCAAGGAGAAGGATGCCTCCAACATCGATCAATTCCGGCAAATCAACCTGTTGAACGTGGAAGGGAAGGTCTTTTTTAGCATCGTTGCAAAAAGGATGACAACATACCTGAAGCAAAACAACCTGATTGATACATCTGTGCAGAAAGCTGGAATACCTGGGTTTTCAGGATGCTTGGAACATACAAGCATGATATGGCACCAAATCCAATCTGCCAAAAGGGAAGGAAGGGACCTGCACGTCCTATTTCTGGACCTAGCCAACGCCTTTGGATCCGTCCCTCATTCTCTGATCTGGACAGCTTTCAACTTCTTCCACATCCCAAGTACCATCACAAACCTGGTGAGAAACTACTTCCAAGATCTGCAATTCTGTGTCAAAACAACAGAATATACAACATCATGGCAATCTTTGGAAGTGGGAATAATGGCTGGATGCACTATCTCCCCACTAGCCTTCACCATGGCAATGGAAGTGATAATTCGAGCTTCCAAATGGGTTGTGGGTGGAGAACGTCTGAAGTGTGGCCAGCGTCTCCCTCCCATTCGCGCTTACATGGATGACATGACCACCCTGACCTCAACCGTTGCATGCACCAAACATCTGCTAGGAAAGCTTCATGCCAACATCACATGGGCACGGATGAAGTTCAAACCAAGCAAATCCAGGAGCATATCCATCGTCAGGGGGAGACTCACAGACCAGAGGTTCCACATCAAGGACACACCCATCCCATTGGTGTCTGAACTGCCAGTCAAGAGCCTAGGGCGACTATACAACGCACATCTCAAAGACTCGGACCAGAGTGATCAGCTGAGGGAAGAAACCATCAAAGGCCTCGTCAGCATAGACAAGACCTTGCTTCCTGGCAAGTTGAAACTGTGGTGCCTGCAGTTTGGATTGCTCCCCCGCCTGATGTGGCCTCTAACAGTCTATGAGATCCCCATGACCAAAGTCGAGAAGATGGAAAGAACAGTGAGCTCATACATCAAGAAGTGGCTTGGCCTCCCGCGTTGCCTCAGCAACATCGGCTTGTATGGACATGGTGCCCTGGAACTGCCCATCTCTAGCCTCACAGAGGAGTTTAAGTGCACCAAGGTGAGGCTGAACATGACCCTGACTGAGTCGCAAGATGAGGTGATCCGTGCAGCTGCTCCCAGACTGGCAACTGGGAGGAAATGGAACCCATCTGAGGCGGTACAGCAAGCCAAATCTGCTCTCAGGCATGGAGACATTGTGGGACAGGTGCAGCATGGAAGAGGCGGGTTTGGACTCGGAACAAGTCGACCCACATGGCACAAAGCAACATCAACCCAGAGGAGAAAGCTGGTGGTTGCTCAGGTTCGGCAACAAGAGGAGGCAAACAGATGCGCGACAGCAGTAGCACAGTCCAAACAGGGACAGTGGACCAGCTGGGAAAACCTGGAGCATCGTAAGCTCACATGGAAGGATCTTTGGGAAATGGAAGGAAGCCAAATCAGCTTCATCATCAGAGCCACCTATGATGTTCTTCCCACACCCAAAAACCTAAACCAATGGTTTGGAGAAGATCCTTCTTGTGCACTCTGTCAAACACCTGCAACACTGAGTCACATCCTCACCGGCTGTAAAACCAGTCTGTCCCAAGGCCGCTACACCTGGAGACACAACCAGGTCCTAAGACAACTGGCGATCACTCTGGAAGGAAGGAGAACAACCATCAATGCCCTCCCTCCACCAATGCCTAGACGCCCAAACACCACCCCATTTGTAAGAGCAGGACAACCACCGGCAAAACCATCTGCAAGAGTGGAGGCAACCCTCCTAGACTCTGCCCGGGACTGGAGGATGCAGGTTGACCTAGACCAAAAACTCATCTTTCCGCCTGAGATCCTTCCAACTAGCCTCAGGCCGGACCTGGTCTTGTGGTCAACCACCCAGAAGGTTGCGTTCATCATTGAATTAACTGTACCGTGGGAGGCAGCAGTTGGTGAAGCATATGAGCGCAAACGACTGAAGTATGCGGACATAGCAGCCGAGGCAGAGAAGCGCGGCTGGAGGGCCCAGGTGCTTCCGGTGGAGGTTGGGTGCAGAGGCTTCGTTGCAACATCCACAACCAAGCTTCTGAAGAGATTGGGAGTACGAGGACAGGCCTTCCGACGAGCCATCAAATCAATATCAGAGGCTGCCGAACGAAGCAGCAGATGGCTCTGGATCAAGAGAAAGGACTCCACCTGGGCTGCAAAATGACCACCTAGGGGTAAAAGCAGAGGGGGCACACCTGGGACGCCAGGTGTCGCCGTTGAGCCCCCTGGAGGTGTCGTGGGCCTATCAATGAAACACCAGTGAAGGGGGGTGCCCACCTGAAGACCCCAGTGAGGCTTTTACCCCCCCCCCCCCCCCCCCACTCAATTCCAAGTGCTGATATAAGGGATTGTAATAACTAGTCCTATGAGCTCAACTCAGATCTTATTGAGTGCATTTATCTCATTGCTAGGGAGGCCCTAAGGTGCAAAACACAACGGCAAATCAGAAAACAAAACACAAAAAGAGAAAACACAATGGTTAATGTCATTGTGTTTTCTGATTTGCTGTTTTGTTTTGCACCTCAGGGCCACCGTACATTGCTGGCCAAACTGTGCAATTACACTGGATGCAGGCCACACTGACCTGACAAGCTCAGATATACTGTAGATCGTATTTCAATTTATAAAAATCTATTAAGATCTTCATTGACTGGAATAGCTGTCAATTGAGCACATTTTTCACAAACTATTAGTCGAGAAAATGTTGTCTGCTGCATTTTTACCTGTTACCTGGCATCAGAGGTGTACATCCCACAATTTGAGACACGAGAGTCATTCATGAAAAACTGCACTGGAGCAGGTTTAGACACTCCTTTGTTGCACCTGTTGTACCTTAGATTTGTTGTATGTATGTTTTGGATTCCTTTTTGGCCTCTTTTGGAGAAAAATGCATCAAATTTCATTAACTGTTAAGTGCCACAACTGCTAGCAATGCCAAGTGTTAGTAATGCCAACAAACAAAGGCTCAAAAAATGAACAGGGCTTTTGTTTTGTGTTTTGTTTTCCACGTGAGGAGCTTCTTTTCCAGCTATTCTGGCACAGGGAGATGACATCCACATTTCCAATCCTGCCTACGGAGCTCTGATTTGGCCAGTTGTTTCTCAGCCCAGAGGAAACAGTAAGCCATTAGTGAAAAATCCAACATGTGGGTGGTGATTCGGAGGCATGAACAAGGTCAAAGTTAGAGCCCAAAACACCTTTACTTAGCCAAGTTTTATTGGTGCTGCTCATTACGACAGCATCCAGGAGTCAGCTGATCAACGTTATATACGACCTTACAGCATGTGGGATGGGATGCTGCGGTTTATATTTTATGTACCATGCTATATGCAGAACAATAGGTGTTTGTTGCAGGAAAAACTAAAAAGACATCACCCACACATACTCAAAAAAAGCATCAAGCACAGCAAGTCATGCAGTCCAACCCACTGATGTTTGCTTGTTTTCTAATCAGAAAAATAACCACCTGCCAACACATGATTCATCTTAACACCCAGGCTCATGCTTTAGATCTTTTAAACATAATTGCAGAGCAAAGTCTAGTTACAGTTCATGAAAAAGTCTTAAAGGGAGCAGAAGCAGGCTTTGTTCGACATTTGAATTAGGAATGCATACTCGCTCTAATTTGTCCAGATGTCTGCTCTCCAGACTTGCTGCTGCTCCTGCTGATGGCCTTATCTTGGCTTGGTGCACATGCAGACACAAGTGCATCAATAATTGATGCCAAGATTCAGAGGTGTGATACGCTCTGGCCCATCAGATAGGTCCTCATCTGGCTTACTGAATTATACAAGTCCACCAAAACGACCACTTAAAATTCACTGGGATGACAGGTGATGTAGAGATACCTGTGGCAGACTGATGCTCAAAACAACGATAGACTTTACAATAAGTGAATAAAACCACATTTTTGGATTTTATGCCTGTCGGACTAAAGAGGAACAGAGTTGATGATTGATTAATGCTGCACTGACAGCAGAGTAAAAACAATATGAGGCCTTTTGAGCCCAAATCAAAGTACGCACTAAGTCCAATTCACCCTCCGTCATGGGCCATTTTTTAAAGGTGGCCGCCTGCTCTGTTAAAAGACTCAGTGTAAGCACGCAGCCGCTGATGAAAAAAGACAATCATTAAGTTTCAATGAGTGTTCGTTACTAAATGAGCTGCAGGATTGAGGGGAGCTCCGGTCAAACAGTAAATTAAACCACTTGCATGATTAAAAAGGTACCTCCTCGGTTGTTTTTCTTCTTCAGGCTCATTCAACAAAATGACTCATGCTAAATAAGAAAAACTGTGTGTTTTTAACCTTGCGTTTTAAAAACCACGAGTGCGGTGTGTCACACTTTATCACCTGAGTGAAGAGCCAGTGGAGCTTCATGCGTTTGGCTGTGGCGTAGCTGCACTCAATGAGGCGCGGTCTGCCGTTTACGTCCACCAGGCACTTGTTGTCGTCATCGTCGACAGTTGGACTGAGGAGCCCGATGTGGAGCTGCTGAGTACTGGTGTAGTACACATTCTATAATTAAACATCAAAAAATGCATTAAACATGGCGTGTGGTGCTTTCCTGTACCTGACATTTAGATAATGGTCCTCTCAGAGCTGGTGTTTTAACAAACAAGTGATGGACTGTGCAGCAAATAAGCTCGCTCTTATATATTTGGGGTCTGATGAAATCCCTATGGTGTTCATTTACATACTCTGAACATGAGTATTTATTCAGCTATCCTGTTGAAAGGAGGACAAGGGAAGACGCAGAAAGGCTCTCAAAAGATGCTCATAATTTATTCAGGAGTGGGGAGTAGAGGAATAATTATGTCCTCTCTGGCAAAATCCCTCCTAAATTGCTTTTTTTCAGGCAGTTGTATTCATTTAAACCTGACGAAAGCCCCAAATCTTTTGCAGGAATAAAGTAGGAGATGCATATTTTGTTTTTCAAAGGGGTAAAGCTTAGCATTACAAATGTGCGAGAGTGGGAAGAAATCTGATTTGTCTGTGATTGTGCAGACAGACAAAAAGGTATTTCAAATCTGCTGCTGTTTTCCTCTGATGAACAAAGAAAATGAACACGGATGACTTAATGATCATGTGAAACGACACCTGAGGAGGATCTGACAGGGGAGCATGTTTACTGTAGTGTTTCCTTTCAGTGCAATTTTAATGTAAATGCGCTCTACTGATGCAAACGTGCACTTCTCAACATTAAATAATGATCTGCTCTTTCACGCCCACTCTGTTTGAACAGCTACAATAATGAAACACTGATCATAATTTAATGGAAAAAAAAAGGTCAACACTTTTCAAGGGGCTTGAGACCATTTGGCACACTTATTTATTATTTCACAAAAAATCCCTCCACTGATTTGCTTGGCAGAGTCACCCAAACCAATGAAAACATACGTTTCAGGTAGGGCTGGGCGATAAACCAAAAATTTACAGATACTGAAATTTACAACAATAACTGATGTCATTTTGCCCAAATAGGTGTATTCGGTGTCAAATAAACAAATTTTTAAAAAGTTGGATTTGGATGTGTGTAGATAGGCTATAGTCTCATGTCCCTTTAAGACGCTGTCCTACGCCAGAGATGTAACTCCACCCCATCCAGTCGGTAACAAAGAGGAAAAGACAGGTGAGGAGATGGAGGACGGTTCAAAAGTTGTGGCTGGAGCAGCGGCTGAAGTAGTCGCTGGAGTAGTTATCGTCCATTTATCGTTATCGAGGTGAACTGCTCAATATATCGTGATATTGATTTGAGGCCATATCGTCCAGCCCTAGTTTGGGGTGTGTTTTCTCATTATAATTATTCCTCATTTCTAGCTTAAATGTACTAACAAATAAGAATCTGTATCCCCTTTTTGCCAAGACACTTCAGACATTCACAGTCTTTAGTCCTGGAGTTTTAAATTTCATTTAATAAACAGAATAAAAATGGAGAATCAAGTAACAACAAACATTGTTACAGTGCACAAAGATACATATAAAAAAAAAGAAAAAGATGCACAATTTATTTTAAAAATGTATTAAAGGAGAAGCACAGTGAGTATGTAGGGTTGGGTTTTAAGTGCAGGGGAAAATGTGCAACCCTCAGCGTCAACTAACCCTGTCTTATGTGTTTAACTGTAAGAAGAAACACTTAACTTCAACCTGAACAACAAGTCGCCTCAAACGAAATGAACAGGAGGACAAAATAATGTTTCATTTGCAGAGCCCGGAGGATTAGGAAACCTGCGGTTGTAGTGAATGCAGGATTTAGATTCTTATCAGAATAAATTTGTTTTAAAGCAGAATAAATACCAGGGACTTTATCTCCATCTGCGGCAAAGATGGTCTCTCATTCTGCACCTGTATTAGCTCCCAAAGCAACCCCAAATCATTTGTTTCATTTGACACCAAATATCTTGGCCATGATTCCTCCTTCTGCAGCTTTAGCTGTTTTTTTTTTTAATCACATTTATGTGAAAATGCCAAAAGAAAAAATCCTGCCTCCTTCACAACAGACGCTGACAGTCACCAGTGTTATCCCTCTGTGCTGCTCACTTTTGGAGCTGTGCAGACTGCCAGACTGTATGTGGCTGTGGCTCCTATTGTTCCTGAGCTTTGGTCCGTATGTGTTATTGTTTTTTATGCTGAAGTGTTGTACTGTAAGGCTGCTGCTACCTGCGCTTACAAAGTCGGTCACGTGTTGGATTGTAAGCTTTGAATTGCTGTTCCTTTCATGTGTGCCTGAGCTCTGATGTGCTGTATTTACCACACCACTTACAATACAGAGTCTAACTCTGCCAAAACAAATCGCTGTAAAGTACAGCTGGCAGGGGCAAAGGCAGGTTCTGACAGAAAACAAAACAAGCGTTCCCACCCCTCTATTTACATGTATTATTATTGAGGCAATCCAGGGAATCAGTCCTCTAGATGATGTAACACAGACACAATAATAGAGCAGACTGGATTTGTCTTGCAGAGGAGATCCCTAATCTCATTAGAAATGCTGGAGCTAGTCCAGTTGTTTGATATGCCAGGATTTATCGAGATTAATAGCATAAATAAGATTTATAATTAGTATGTTTTAGCATATTTAGGTCTTAGAAAGCGCTCTGAAAGTTGACAAAAAGGCGCTTTCAGATTAAACAGCTTTCTTCTGACTCAGTTGTAATTTGCGCCATGGTGTAAATATCAACAGAAGCGTAATGGGTGTGAAATGTCCAATAGATTCATTTAAATCAAGGGGGATAATGTGAGATCAAGTCTTACTCTGTGAGACAAGTTTCCAGCTGCCACAGCAAGGTTAAACAATCTCTGAAAGCAATCTGCCCAGACATAATGGGATGGAGGGATCGATAAAAGCTGGAAGAGCTGGGAGAAAGTAAATGATAATCAAGCTGTGCTAACATTTGAAGACACTTGAAGTCCCCGGTATTCGGGCTGAAATATATCCTGGACAAGTCATCCAAGCATACACTTTTAGAGACGGTGACTGATTGGAAACACGTGATGAATAAAGCAGAGGTGTTTGATTCTAGATCTGGATGTTT